CGACTGTCGTTCGGCACGCTGCATTGAGCATCCGTGTTCAGTTTTTAATTTACTGAACTAAATGATTTTTATTACTATAAAAAATCTAAACGACGGTGGGGGTCGGTGCCGCGGTGGGCAAGTGACGTAACCCGTGTTGCGGCTTAACAACGGTATCACCATCAGCACAGTCTATCGCGGCAAGCCTACAATGAAGTACATAATAAATAATATTTTGGCATTCAAATACATCGCGAATATGGAAACATTTGATTTTGTGTCGAATGAGAGGCCCAACGTTGGTTTCAGTTTCGTTTTAGCCTAAATTAATTCATTTTGGCTTGTCGTTTATATTGCTATATATACTTATATTTTTAATTCTTGTTCTTTTCTAAATACTGTTAATTGAAAGGATTTGTTGTGCAGTGAGGGGAACTAAAATAGCCTAGCTATGTTTACAGTGTTTATTATAATGTTTGTAAACATTTTGCGTCTGCATTTAGGCCTTTTTCTGAATGAAATAATAAAATGCGACTTATGCTTTTTTTTTCTCTAAAAAACAAAAAAAAAATTTATATCATAGCGTATTTTAACCATGCAGCAAACCTTTTTAAATATTTTGATAAATTACTGAAAAAAATAAATAAATAAATGACTTTTTAAACCGTTTAACTGATTGTATTAATCGGTCAAAATTCTTACGGTCGCTTAACGGTTAAAATGAGCATCCCTACTTAATATCCTAATGATTTTTGGCATAAAAGACAAATCAATAATTTTGACCCATACAATGTATTGTTGGCTATTGCTACAAATATACCCATGCTACTTATGACTGGTTTTGTGGTCCAGGGTCACAAATGGTAAATATAGCAATACAATATCAAATAAGGGATAACCTGCATTTTTTCAACTTCGGAACTAGGCCTAGTAGTCTTACCTTAAACCATTTGCATGGTGACCAAAAGCCTGTGGCGGTCCTGAAGAATGAGCCACCGAGGTGGGGGTGCTCCAGGGGCCATTCCATAAATTCCCCATGGAGAGGGGTCTTCTGGGGTAGGGCGAGTAGGCTGAGGAGGAACTGGTTCCAGGAAGTCTTCCATGCTGGGGCTGGAGGCTGGGCCGGTTGGCCTGCCCCGCAGTGAAGGAATGCCGTGACCGGCTTAGCATGGGTCCAGCGGTGCTGCTATTGCTCATGCATTGGTGACAGGTACAGGCCGGGCCCGAGTGAATAACCGAACCTGAAGCGAGAGGATACGGCACGCTACCTTGCCGCCTGACGCGTCGTCTGTAACTGGTGGACTTGTTGACTTGCTCCAAAGCAGTGAGGTCCACAATGTAGTTGTAGCCGTGTGAGCTCAGGTCAGCTGTGGCCTGCCCTGCCTGGTAGCTGTGCTCCAGCAAAATTGAGGTTCGGATCTCATACGCCATCCACCCTCCTTCATCATTGGCCCACTCCCAAAGAACCCCGCTGCCCAGAGCAGAGGACTGTGGGAACAGGGATCTCCGCACAGCGCGTATCTTTCCTATAAAGGGTTAAAGAAAAAATTCACAGTAATTGGCACAAGATCATTATCATTGCAAAAAAACATCTACACATTTTTCAACCACAACAAAGTGCTTCTCTTCTAAAACAAATGTGAAAAGAGCAGTTTTTATCCACAAAACATGCTGTGCATCCTGTCAGAATCTGTTAGCTTTATTTCCTGAGATTTTTGTCACCTCTTTCCTGTTCTTTTCCGTGGAGACCACAGGTGTCGAAAACCATACAAACATCCCCAAAAACAAGCCTAATCTCCAGTTAACAGACCCAGCGCTATTTCTATATATATAGAAGCATGGGTCTTCAGAGGATCCGTTATATATATATATAGGATGATTGATCATATGTATATATATATATATAAAATAGCCTATGTGTCATACTGCAGCACTACACAACTTTACCCAGAGGGTTTAATGACCTGTTATCAAGGATGAAGCATAAATATTATACATTTAGAGCAACTGAATTTCCGGGATTCACACTAGGCTTCTTTCACTCTGTAGATTATAGAGACACTTCCTTGACGACTGATAACACATTTACTTAATCCAAATGGAGCAATAAGTGTGTCTTCTTAACACTCTTTTACAGTAAAGAACTGTGGCGGTATCAGATGGTAATATCATCACGTAGCATAGTATATGGGTCAATAATGTAAAAATGTCCAAGATGATTTAAAAAATCTTTCAAAATCTAGTATAAACTGCAGGTATTATATGTTCTTAGAAACTTCATAAGTGTATTAATGCAAAAAAGTCTACATACCACTATAAACAATTATCAAAAACAAGTAGGCTATTATGAAATATCAAATATCTCTCTTTCTATATACATGGCTTAAAATGATTTCTTTTTAAAGGAAAATAACTTTTTAAATATTATTTTATATTATAAAATTATAATAATTTATTTACATATGAGCAAAGATGCATTAAGTTTATCAAAAATGACAGTAAAAGACATCATTTTACAAAATATTTTACATTATTTTATTGAATTTTACTTCAATTTCAATAATTTATTGTTTCAAACTTTGTATTTATCCAAGAATACTGAAAAAAAAAGCTACTTGATAAGTTTTCAACACTGATATAATAATAAATGTTTCTTGAGCACCAAAAAGAATGATTTCTGAAGGATTGTGTGACCCTGAGGACTAAAGTAATGGCTGCTGAAAATACAGATTTGCCATCACAGGAAAAAAAATCACATTTTAAAATTTACAGAAAAGGTTCTAATATTTTGGAGTTGTACTATTTATTTTACTTAATTTAGATGAAATATATGCAGCCTTGGTGAACACTAGCAACTTATTGACTCCAACATTTTGAATGATTGTGTGTGTGGAATAAAACTGAGGGTTAAATCGTGAATATCAGACAGTTTGTGAACCAAAGTTGACTCTAAAATCATAGGCATAGCTTGACGTTTGAGTTTGGGGGGGCCAAACCGAACCGGTGGATTTGGTCAGACGTACTTTTAAACACATTTTAGTTTTGCTATAGTAAATCTACATATTCACATTCACATAGAGCAGTGGCAAGTGCGTGAGGTTGTCATGGTAACCACATACATTGGCCACGAATTACAGCTGCGCTTCTATTTTGCCACATTAAACTTAGCAATAAACACGTTTAAAATGCACAATAAACATGTCTGTCAAAACGATCTCAAAGGAGGCTTTTATTAAGCAAATCAAGGAGTGAATTACTCATCCACTGTTTTTAAAACAGACATTTGTTGGGCTTGATTCAAGTTAATGCACAATGAGGCGCACACTTTTTATTTAGTGTTATTGAATAGACGATAAACAGTTTATATTCTAAAATCTATGTAAAGGTTGTGTTCTGTGAAAATTAAATAACATTTGGATGTAAATGGTCGGCATAAAAGTAGCGTGCGGCTAAACCGTGAGATCACCTTGAGTCCTGTGAGATCACCTTTATCTGATTGTCCGAGTCCGAGAATCATTAGCACGGCATTAATATCTTCATCAGAGTTTTTCGTTGTCTCCAGATTTCTCTGCAGTTCGTGTATGTTGTTAAAAACGCGGAACATCATTTTATTCCACACAACAGGCAAGAATTACCGTTAAGTCTATTATCCACCAAAATGCAGATTCGCCACGTGACAATTCTTACGCAAATGAGATTGAGGGAGACGTTAAGTTTGTTTTGATTTATTAATTTACTTACAATAACAATTTAAAATGTATTTACTTTTATGTATTCACTTTTACATGTATTATTAACTGCATTATATAAATTTTTACTTCATAGAGAAAACTTTATAAATAAATATTTAGTCAAATTCTTAAATCGCTATGGGGGAGCCAGCGATTTAAACCCATGTCTACAATGTACTTCCAATAAACTTCACCAAAGAAAAAAAATAAAAAATACTATGGTACCAAGATATTTTGGGATATGTACCATAACAAGTCCATAGTAGTCTGAAGTTTAACATAGATGGTAATGATTCATATTCAGCACAATATCAACCACTACACCACCACAGTACTATTAGTAACTCTTGGTCATCAGTAGCGTGGTGAGACAGATGTCTGAGGTCCCACTCACCAGTGTCCTGTCTGAACTGTTTGAGGTTGGGGATGTCGATGATGTACGCAGACAGGCTGGGGTCTGCCTGTGCCAGACAGATGCCGTTGCTGTTGGCTCCTCTCTGGAGACACTGCTCGATGTAGCTGCTCACCTGTCCGGTGTAGGGCCTCCAGAAGCCCTGATCATCCTGCCATTCCCAAACCACCGCCATCGGCTGAGCCTGTCCCGGCACTCCAGACGAGGAAGACGACGGTGATGCGAATGACGGTCCGTTTCTAGATCCACTCCCTCCGGAATGGAAACTGGAGCCTGTTGCCATTTTGTCTGTTAGAAAAGATCTCACGCGCCCGCCGGCGATCTTAAAATAAGCGATCTGGCCCAGCTAACAACAACAACACACTTTCAGTTTCACCTGATTTACATCCAGCTAGCCTGCTACCTAGTCGTATTCAGTAAGAGATCGATTAATATCGTCACTACAGTGTTTTATTCAGCAGTACGCGTTCATTTAACCGCAGATTTGACCATAAACCCACTGACGTCTCTTCATCTTGTTAGGCTGCTGGAGTCGCAGCTTCAGACTAACGTTAGCCGCGTCTCGCTCTCCTCTTCGCCATTCAGTGCGTTACTGTACGGCTACCGGGCTTATAAACCAGTATCATATGATATAACGGTGACTATTTAGTAGGCAGCAGACTGAAGTTGTCAGGTCGCGAATAAAAACGCACCACTCGACATGATTTTGATAAGTACGCACTGGGTTGTAGCGCTGCGGTGACTTCCTCGCCTGCGGTGTGTGTTTGTGTCGCTGCTGTGCTGGTGGTAGATACACACTGTGAAGCCCGACACAGAATACACTCCTCTGGAAATCTGGCTTTACTGTTTCCGTAATTTTTTACAGGTTTTAAATAAAAATAAAATGCTTTATTTTTTAATTGCTATATTTTTCTTCTGGTACTACTATTGCTTGCCGTTAATCGCACTATAGCAAATATTAAAACTTGTCTCTGGTAAATAATGTCTGCACGGCTGGAGACTTTTATTTTGAAAGTATTTATAAGCCAACTTGATAAAAGGCAAACTAAAGGTTCCTCTGCACTTTTTAGAAAGAAGTATCGTACATATAACGTTACGTGCTATTTGTATTATTATTACACTATTTTTTTTGTTGTGCTGTTTGCCGTCAACCGCTGCGACAGGATGATTTGGAAGAACTAGACTAGTCTGATTCGTGAACGAATCATGTTTTGTGAATTTGATTCATTGAAAAGATCCGACTCAAATGAAGCGTTTGTACGTGAACTGAATAATAAATGTTTTTAGTAAACACATTTTATATAAGTAAGTTATTTATGTTCCGAAGAAAGCCGTATTTGCATAAATATTATGGCAATTAAATTCTGACAGAATTGTCATTTTTGGGTGAACTATCCTTTCAGCAGTCTTTAATTAGTGATAATTTAATTTAAATATATATATATATATAAAAAGTTAAACTACTCTAGCATAGGTGCCAGCAGCCAACAATTAGAGTGTTTTAACTATAGATATGTCTATGGTTTTAACTTTAATCATTTTATGAAATCTGACATACCTCATAAAACATCGCACACATTCAGAAAGTTTAACTAAAAACTTAAGATTGAACGTAGAACATTTTATTTTATTCCAATTGTATTTAAGGAAAAAATAAAACTACTGTAATTCTGCACTGTAATCAGAACTACTAAAAAATACGTTTTTTAAAAAAAGGTAAAATGTGCGATGTTGTCTTTAGCCCAGCAGATGGTGCTACTGATGATTTTATGTTTTTGGAATATTAATTTTTCTTCTCCATTGATCTGGTTTCCATTTAAAAGATAACATATTTTAAGTCTTTCACTACATAACACTATCATGATCACACAAACGCAAGGCAACACATTTTATTTGAAAGGCCTAAATGGCATTAAGGTACAGCATATAAATACTGGCGATTCCAGAGACAGTCATTACATAATAACATTATAGCATTCTTTCCTTTACAAACGATACATTCATGTTTTCTCCTTTAAATATCTCACTTTGCCTTACTTTAACAAACTTAAGAGTAACTTACAAAGCTAAAATAATACAAAAAGTCTCTCAGTTGAATACAAGTTAGTGCTATCATGTTAGGTTTTCCAACTCGACATACTGAAACCTGAAGCAGATGTTTCTTTCTGAATACATACAGTAGCTAGCTTAGCATCATAAATCGTGTCATTCAGTACTTTATGCTCTGTACTAAATGTGGTAGATTACATTCCCTGCATATACAAGTTTTTATTTTATTTTTATTTTTTTATAAATAAATAAATAACAATACAAACATTTGCAAGGCATGAGACCCAGATAACTACAGGACTCGTATCCAGTATGCACATACTGTACGAGCTCTCGGCACCAAACAAGGCTGTGTATCCCAACAGTGATTAGACATATTTGGGGGGTGGGGGGTGGGGAATCCCGTTTTGACTGCTCTTTATGAAATGGTTATTTAACCATGATTGTGTCCCAGGATCTGCTATAACAAATCCTGGTGGCAAAGCAATATAGTTCTTCTGATACACAAATAACGGCTACTCCTTTTACAAACAATCTCTTGAAGGAATAGTTCTGTCCTTATTCACTCTCCTCATGTCGCTCCAAGCCTGTATGTTGTTACTCTACCAGTGGAACACTTAAAGGACTAGTTCACCCAAAAATTTTAATTTCCTGAAAATGCACTCAACCTCAGGCCATCCAAGATGCAGATGGGTTTGTTTCTTCATCTGAATAGATTTGGATAAGTTTAGCATCACTTGCTAACCTATGGATACTCTGCAGTGAATGGGTGCCGTCAGAATGAAAATCCAAACAGCTGATAAAAACATCACAATAATCCACAAGTAATCAACATGACTCCAGGCTATCAAATAATGTCTTGTGAAGTGAAAATCTGTGTGTTTGTAAAAAAAAAAAAAAAAACCTTATTACTACATTACTTGTAGTTAATTAATTGTGGTGTTTTTATCAGCTGTTTAGACTCTCATCATGACGGCACCCATTCACTGCAGAGGATCCATTGGAAGCAAGAGATGTAATGCCTAATTTTTTTCAAATTTGTTTTGATGAAGAAATAAACCCATCTACATCTTGGGTGGCCTGAGGGTGAGTACGTTTTCAGCAGATTTACATTTTTGGATGAAGTATTGCTTTAAATATCAGTTTTTGACTAATCTTCACACAGAACAAATCTTTTACATGATTTCTATTTTTGCATTTCACCAAAAAATCAAAAGCATTCGTTTTGGACTGACATGAGGGTGAGTACTATTCCTCTAAGTAATAAAGCACTGGCAGATTGATTTACTGCTGTTTTTCCATCATTAGCACTTCATTCAGAAACAACTGCATCCAACAGTTCACACTCTCTGATACACACAGGCATCTCCACGTGCGAGCCGCAGGATCTGCCACAGCTCTGAAGAAAGCTGAATTTAGCATTCAGAAACGTCAGGTTTAAAAAAGTTCCCTTAACGGTAGAAGTCTTTTGTACGCCATCAGAAAGTTCATTAATATTTGACTTTTCCAGGAACTTGAACATTCACTCCACTATAGTCCACCATGTACATGGGCCATTGCTGAAAAAGAAAAAAAAAAAGGACTTTGTAATAGTAGCTCATTTAGCGAAATCAGCCATTTTTAAGTTTGACATGAAAATTCTATGGACCCCATTTACTCTCTTAATACATGTCCATAGTCTAATTGTGCAAAATTAATCTGCATTTGAAACATTTTGTGCTTTAACGAAAGTGCTGGCTCTGGAATGACTTGCCTGTATACAATACAATTCAAAAGTCTGCGGTCGGTACGATTTTTGAAAGAAGTCTTTTATGCTCACCAAGGCTGTATTGATTTGATCAAATATACATTAAAACAGTAATACTGTAAAATATTATTACAATTTAAAATAACTGTATTACATTTTAATAGATTTTAAAATGTAATTGATTCCTTTGATGGCAAAGCTACATTTTCAGCAGTCATGACTCCAGTATTCAGTGTCATATCACATGATCCTTCAGAAATCATTCTAATATTCTGATTTTGTGCTCAAGAAACATTTCTTATTATTATCACAATTAAAAACAATTGTGCTGCTGAATACTTTTGGGGAACCTGTGATACTTTTTTTTTCAGGATTATCGATGAACAGAAAGTTTAAAAACAGCATTTTCTGAAATAGAAATCTTTTGTAACATTACAATTTTGTTTGATCAATTTAATGTATCCTACTATCCCCAAAAATTCTTACTAACCCTAAACTTTTAAACAGTAGTGTAATGTTAACCAGTAACTAACTGGCTATTTAATGGTATCATACTCGCATTTAAGTCTGGCTTCATTCTGCACACGAGGCCCACTTTTCAAAATCAAATCAATTCCCACTCCACTTTTTTTTTTCCTCACTGAATATCTTGTTCAAAAAATGTCACATTATACAAGTTAACTGGGCTGAAAATGCCTTTTATGACAAAGAATTTAAAAAAGAGTGTAATTAGAAACCCACTCGCGTCTGTAATATGTCTGCTTACCATGACAGGTATCTGATTGGTTGATAGTGTTGAGTCTGCTCCAGTGGGCATGGATGCTTGACTGTTGTCAAGTACTCGTTTACGTTTGCGTCGATTTGTAGACACTTCTTTACCTTCTACAAAAAAAGACATATATATATATATATATATATGTATATATATATATATATATATTTAAGCAAATTTGCATTTGTAAACATTTACTTTTTTTTCTTCAAAAGTGAAATAAAAAGTACACTAATAAGGCTCTTACCTTTATTACAAGATTGAGTACATAACTCTTTAAAAGGCCTAAATAAAGACACAATCAAGATCAAACAACACTTAAAGTACAACAGAGTCTCTAAACACAGCAAGTATTGCTCTTCCGACACAATCACTATAATCATATCTGACATACTATAGCACTTACTGTAGAGGGGTTTTGATATTGAAAGTAATTTCATCATGGGCCTGCAGGATTTTTTCCAACCGAACTATGTCGTAAGTATTAGGATTCCTGAAGGGAATATCATCGGGAAGTCCACACACTTCCAGTGAGCCTGGATTGGCACGGATTAACTTGTAAGGAACAATGACTGAGCGGTCCAGACCCAAAGCTTCACCTGAACACAAAACATTCACAAATGAAGCACTGGAGTATTTTCAAAGGGATAGGGATAAATCAGTTATTAGTAATTAACACACCATATTTTTTATTGAACAGCTCTTTAACTTGTTCCCGTAATATCACTTTTTCTCCCATCCGGTTGACCTCGTCATCTTCTGTTGGACAGTGAAAATACATTCGACAAGTTTACTGACAGATTCAACATTAAAATAACTTTTTAAGCCATGGTAGATAGATTCTACACAGATTCAAGCTTAAAGGGTTAGTTCACCCAAAAATGAAAATTAGCCCATACATTACTCACCCTCAAGTCATCCTAGGTGTATATGACTTTCTTCTTTCAGACGAATCCAGTTGGAGTTACATAAAAAATTGTCTTTGATCTTTCAAGCTGTTTCATGGCACTCAGCGGGTGTTGCATGCATCAGTCCAAAAGAAGTTGTGGCTCCGGGGGGTGAACAAAGGCTTTCTGTAGTGAATCGATGCGTTTTTGTAAGAAAAATATCCATATTCAAAACGTAATAATCACTTTAATGTAGCTTGCGCTCATGAAAGAAGAAAGTCATATACACCTAGGATGACTTGAGGGTGAGTAATTTATGGGCTAATTTTCATTTTTG